AAAACACATGTGCCAGGTCAGAGAGGGATCCCAGGGGCTTTTGGTGCCCCTGGTCCTGTATGGGGCAAACTGAAGCATCGAGTGAGTCCTGGCATTGCCGGCACGTGGCCACCGACGTCATCCCCATGTCCACGATCCCTCGGGGCTCCCAGAGAGTGACTCAAATATTAAAAATAAGTGGGCTGCTCATGGCACTTTCAGCATTCCCCAGACACCTCCAAAAAAGCCTCATGCTGTGCATTACCTAATTCTTACACGACAGAAGGAGCAAATTCCTTCTTTCATGGTGCTGCTGTACACGTCTGTCTACAGCATCACTCTGTGTGTGTGCACAAGTGTGTAGATATCTCTGTTTGTATCTGTCTCTATATTTGTATCTATATTTGTCTTCAACATCTTCTACAGGAAACTGATAAGCAAAGTAGTTCTGTCAGGAAATTGGCTCCTGAGGGGGGAATAGCTGGCGGGTTCACAGCAGGTAATGCTGTAAAACAGGTATGAAAAGTGAACAGAAAACAGACATTTTGGCTGGTGAAGAAAGAGCAGCACTAGAAGCATTTTCCACAGGTTTCCAAAACAACTTGGGGTTTTGCCTCCCATTGAAATGTGACTGATTATGGCCCCAGCTTTCAGTGGATGTTTAGTGGATGTTTTCCTCAGCTGCCTTCTGTATCCTTTGCATTTAAACTTATATACTTAGACATAAATTTAAGAGGAAAAGGAGATGAAATGCTCTGCTTTGACTGCTATTTTGCCCTCAAACTTATTGTGCATTTCAGGCAGTCCTTGTCCAAGCCCACCAACCACGTGGTGGAAATGCTGGAGCTGGGAGCGAAGGAGCTGCCCTGCCAGCACAGCTCACGGAGACACAGCTGAGCCAGAACGATGGCTTTCTGCTGCAAATACATTTCCAAAGCTATAAATAAAACCACGACTTTGAACAGTCAACAGCAAAGCTGCGGTAACGCTTCCAGCACCCCTGGGACCCACGGGCTGGGAGGGGGTGACCCTGTGCCTGCTGCAGCCCAGGGGCCTCGGGAGGGGCTCTCCCCACTGCCACGGGGTGCTGGTGCTGCCCTGGGGCTCTGCCAGACCCTCCCAGTGCCAGCCCACGAGACCAGGGGATGGTCAGAGCGCCCGATGCCCGCTGGGACCCCAGGCCCAGCCCAACACCCCATTTCTGGCCACAGGCTTGGCCCCAGTCCCTGTCCCCACAGCCGGGCTCTGGAGAGGAGAGAAGGCTCTGGGACAGGCAGACACCACAGCTCAGCATGGAGCTGTTCCTGGCGCTGTGGGGAGCAGGGAGCTCACAGCACACATCACCTGTGCTCGGGACTGCAGAGCGGAGCCGCCCCTGCGGAAGCAGCGGTCTCCTAACCTACTTCCCGGGAAAAGCAATTGGAAACTCTCAGAAGATAAAAAGATAATGAACAAATAACCTTCACCGGAGCCAGTGCCGCAAACCCCCAGGTTCCCCTTTGTGCTGCTGCCTGATATTAATGATCCTGTCAGGGCTCCTAAAGAACTTTGTGCTCCATGTGGGAAATGGGGGGTTTGTCCCAGAGTGCAGCCAGGAGCATGTTTTCATTTCTTCCCAATTTTACACAAGGAAGTTCTTACATTGTGCATCTAAGAAACCGTACATTTATTTTCTTACAACTCCAGGTTCCCGTAGCACTACTGGGGTTTGAAACAAAACGCCACTGTCTTTTCAGGAAAATGCTTGATGCGTCGAGCAATGGCAAATCATTAATTATTTCGAGCCTCTTATGCCACCACTGACACCACAGTGAAGAATTTAAAACATTTCCTCAGACAAGCAGCTCACTCACAGCAAACCACAGCAAAGGGCATTGCTCGGTGTTTCAGAGCTTGTTTTCTCTGCGAGGAGCCTCTCCGGCAAACTGCTCCGCCTTCCTCTTGGAGACACAGAGCATGAGGGGTGAAACATAAATTAAATATACAGCTAGGCCAGCCCCTCACCATGGAGATGAGCAAAACCCCTTCAGGAATGGCTGCCCCTCTCTTCAGCCCCACCGCTCCCTGGGGACACGTCTCGGGGCAGTGACACCCACCAGTGGGTCCCCGGCAGTCGGCACAGCACCAGGGGATGGAGCAGAAATGGGCACTGCTGCTTCTCTCGCCTGATGGACCCCACACTGCAAACCACCACCTTGACTGCCTTAAAAGGTGCCTCCACGGCCTGTAATACTGTTAAATACCAGCTTTTCCCAGTCAAGTAAGCCAACATCTTCACATTCAGGCAGCTGCTGCGAGCCCCCGAGTCCTGGCAAGCGACCCAGAGCCCTGCTCACTCACAGCCCTGCACTGACCCCAGGATCCAGTGGAGACAGATACTGGAGCAGTGTCATCCCCAAACCAGTAAACTACTGGAATGCACAAAAAAACCCCAACAACAAAACCATTCATGGAGCAGCCAACCCAGCTGCCCTGACCCACAGCACCTCACTCGTTCTGCCTGCAGCAGATCTGTCCCCCAAACAGCATCTGGGGGAACCCAAGGACAGGCCCTTCTCCACCTGCTTGGATGGGCTGTTAGGGAGTGAAAATTAGGGAAGAAAAGAGGAAGGATTCATCCCAGCTCAGACAACGAACTGCTGGTTCAACATGGGAATATTAGCTAAGTAAACCCTGGCTAATCAAATGAAAAAGGCTTTACCTAGAAGCAGAATGCTCAGGTATTAACCAGCAGCATCAAACCTCTACTCACACACCTTCAGCAAGCACAGCCAGAGGTTAACGTTGTGACAGGTTTAACCAGTGCCATTATCCGAAATGTAAATAAACCCTCTTAAAATCAGCTCTGCCTCTGAGTGCTGCTTCCTCCTGCCCAGCCACGAAGCCAAAGGACATGTCAGAAGGGTCACGCTTCGGGGAGGGTATGAAGCCCTCCACGTGCCCCTGCTGCCAGGGTGAGTGGCACCAACACACGGGCACAGCAGCAAAAACACCCAGCGCAAAGTTCCCGGCGGCAGCTCCGCTCCCCGGACGTGCGCCGGGATCCACGGCACTGTGTGTGAACGCCACGGCTCGTGCTTCGGCCAGCTCCCCCAGATTCCAGTAAAAATAGAAAGGCATAAATTAGATCCGAGAGGCGCAGAACCAGCCCGGGTGAGGAGACACCGTGGATCTCAGCAAGACGTGAAATCTCTGCGCTCGTGAGGGAATGACCTTCAAAACTCATTCAGCGCTCGCAGCCTGCGCGGTGATGGCTTCCTCACTTGTGAGACATTACACATTCCTGCTATGTTCTCCCTAATTTCGCATGGACTATAAATACTTGGCTTATAAGGCAGTGTGAAAGCAAGAGAGAACAAATATTTAAGCGGGATAACCTTGCTTGCGAGGGTAACAGGAGCAAATTCTGCATCCCTCAGGTCATGCAAGCTAAACACCAGGATTCCCTGTTTACTATGCTACACATAAAATATCAGCTGGGATATGGGATCAAGTAGTATTTTGTCTTTAAAAAAAAAAAGACATGCAAAATGACGACACCTTGTCAAATTTTCTTAAGGGCAGAAAATCCAGATTTTTCTGAACTGTTCTGCCCACACTTTCTCTCCCAAACTAGTTTTCCATTTAATTTGTATTAAAAACAACCTTTGAGAGACGAATTAATTCGGCTTATGCAAAACAAACTGGGCTGCCGTTAGAGCTGTTTACTGGGTCACACTGTACAACCCTGATGGGGTAGGTGAGGGGGGACCGGCAGCATTTCCACCATTCTTCAGTGGTATTTGCACAAACCATCTTATTTATCGATTTTAGACTCTTTAAGCCCAAATGACGGTGCCTTCCATAGCCTGCAGCACCCTCGGCAACCATTCTTTGGCACTATCACCTAAAGCACGTTAAATGAAAGGATGCTCCCCCCTCCTTGGCATCACAAGGCAGGAGGAACTGGGGGTCCCCAAAGCTGGACGGTGGGAGCTGTTGCTACTGACGTGTTGAGTCACCTTTACTCAAAAGTCTGCCCCGAATTTTCCATCGCCCCCGGACTGGGCTGAGGCCAGCCGCCTCCAGCAGCAACCCCTGCGCGTGCGGCTCCGCACAGCGTGTCGTGAGCTCCCTTGCAGGGATGATGCTGACTGTACGGATGAAGCACAGGAGCAGCCAGAACCGGGGATGCCCCTCTCAACCCCCGGTCACACGGTCCCGGTACCGGGCTAGTTCCAGCGGAGCTGGGGAGCGCGTTTCCCTAGTTTTCAGCAATACGACATCCCACGACATCTTCGCGCTGAGCGATGCCCCCCAGCCCCGGCAGCGAGGGGACACCGAAAGGGGAGCGACGGCCCCGACCCCGCGTCCCGGTCCTGCTCCCGGTCCCGGTCCCTCCCGGCACGGCGCGCCCCGTCCCCGCCGCTCCGGGCGATTACAAAACCCGAGCGCACATCAGGGCAGAGCCGGCCGCTCATGAGAGAGGCACAGCGGGCACCGGGCTGCGGCGGGCCCGGGAGGGTCGGTGCCTGCCCCGCAGCATGCCCTGTCCATCCCCGCCCCGCAGCATCCCCCGTACTTCACTTCGCACCCACGTCCTCCCCGCGCTGCGCGCAGCCCCCGCGCCCGCAGCGGAGGGTTCGCACCAGCGGCTCCGCGGGGCACGGCCGCGGATACCCCGGCCCCGGGACGACCGTGCCGGGCTGCCCCCGCCCCGCTCCGGCTCCGGGAGCTGCGGGCAGCACCGCGCCGGGGGCAGGCGGGCAGCTCTCCGCGCCATCCCCGCACCCCCCGCGCCGGGGGCTCCGCCGACAGGGGGGCTCAGCCCCGGCGCTCCCCGCCGCCGGCAGCCGCGGCTCCGGTCGCCTCCCGAGAGCCGGGGGGCGGCGGGAGCGGGGGGGCCGCCTTTGTTGGCGGCGCGGGGCAGCACCGGGCCGCCCCCGCCGCTCCGCTCCTTTTGTCTGCCGGGCCGGGCGGCAGCGCGGCGGCTGCGGGGGCAGCGCGGGCGCGGTGCCGGTGCCGGTGCCGCGGAGGCTGACCTGGATGGTGCAGGTGTACTCGCTGTCGTCCAGCAGCCGCACGGTGCAGTTGTACTCGCGGTCCAGGTTCCTGCTGCTGCCACTCATCCACCTGCTCAGCATCTTCCCGGGGCGCGGCGGGCGCGGGCGGCGGGCGCTGCCGGCGGAGCCTCCGCTCACATCCCGCTGCCGGGGCGGTGCGAGGCGGTGCGGGGCGGTGCGGGGCGGTGCGGGAGGTGCGGCGGGCGCGCCCCCCGCCCGGCTCGGCCCGGCCCTGCCCCCGCTGCGGGCGGGGCGGAGCGGAGCGGAGCGCGGTGCCCGTGCCGGTGCCCGGTGCCCGTGTCCGGGCCGCGGCGCTCGGCGGGCGGGGAGGAGGCAGGGCCGGGGGGCGCCCGGCGCTGGCTGCGGGGGCCAATCTCGGCGCGGCGGCGGTGACGGGCTCCGCCGCAAACCAATGCGGCACGGGCGGCGCGGCTCCGCCGCCTCCGCCGGGAGCCCCGCGCGGGAGGGGTCCGGGGCTCCGCGGGCGCGGAGGGCGGCGGAGGGGGGCTGCGGGCGCGGCACTGCACGGCCGGGGTGGGCGGCGGGGGGCACTCAGCGCCGCGGGACTCCGCTGAGGTGTCCGCACCTCTCGCCCGCTCCCCACAGCCTGGCGACCACCGAGAGACTCCCCCACATCGGGGGGCAGCGGGACAGGGCAGGGGGCAGCCCCCAGTTGGTGGGAGCACCCCTCAGATGATGCACCGTGGCGACACTGAGCCTTCTGAGTGATGTCGAGCAGGTCAGACACGTGGCCGGGGTATTGATGCCCCAGACCCCCAGATCAGAGGTGAGGGGCTGCACCAGGGACTCTGGGACTCCAAGGACAGCAGGTGACCAGACACAACCCATCAGGCCCGCAGGTCACTGCCAAAGCACCGAGCTGTGCCCAGTTCTCACTGGAGCCCAACCCCATTACTAGGCTGGTATTGCCATGGAGGGGCAGCAGCTGCTGTGGCCCTGAGCACCAGCCCAAGTGCCAAGGTGGCCCCCAGGCCATGAGCTTCTCCCTTAGTGTTCATTTGCTATGGAAGGAAACTTTTAAGGCACTGGTTCTTGGACGAAATGGACTCAAAGAGCCATCAGTGTTACTGGGTACAGCTGGTGCTGCTCTGGGGAAGTGAAATAGGTGGTGGCAGCATCAGCAGTGACCAGGGGGATGGGGATCTGGCCAGCTCTGCTGCAGGTCTCTGCCTCTGGCCCTGCTCATTCCCTGCTTGGGTATCACACTGCCCACAGCCACCCCCCACCAAGGAGTTCAGCGCTGCTCCCATCACCACCCTGGCTCCACACACTCTGGCAAATACCCAAATCAAGCAGGCCACAGGAAGGATCCATGTTAAGCTACCCCCAGTCCATCCCATCACAGCACAGGCCCTGTTCCCACTGCACCTTCCTGGCTCAGCTCATCTTTGCCTGGAGGCTCACCTTCATCCCCTCCAGCTGCATTTCCAGGCTGCAGTGCTGCTCCCATCCTCTGCCCAGGAGCACCAGCCTGCATGGAATCCAGCTGGCCAGCTGCTCCCTGTACTCTCTCTGCTCCAGCCTTCCTCATTCCCTGCCTTCCCAGCCAGAAAGGTGGTTTACAAGGCTGTCTTCCTTACTTTTCCCAAAGTAGTGCAGGCTCTCTTCCCACCAGCCCTTCCAGGCCTCTCCTGGCTGCAGAGCAGCATCTTTCCCTGCAGCTCTTCCCAGCTCCCCTAGAAAGGAGAACTGCTCCAAGGCCAGTGGCTCTCCAGGCTCTCATATCCCTGACCTGCAGTCCCTGATGTGAGGAGCCCACACCCCAGCGTGTGGGGCTGGGATCCTTCGGGATCCTACAGTTCAGGTTGTCCCGTGATGGGGGACAGCCAGGCTGTCTGTCAGGCTGGCCGTGTCCTGTGGAGGGGCTGCCAAGGAAGGCTGGCCTTGGTTATCTCACGTCCAAGTCCAATTAATCCGAATGTCCAAACCATGTGGGAACACGGCCTTGCAGGCAGTGGTGCTGCAGCAGTGGGGCAGAGACAGTGGGTGACACCCTGGAGGGGACATTATCCTGCAGGGAGGACTGTCAGCAAAGCCAGGGACTTGGCCTGTGTGGGATGTCTGTGGGGAGGCTGCAGCTCCCAGGAGCAGGGGCTGTGCCCGGCACGTTGTCAGGGGGCGTGATGCCGAGCCCGGAACAACAACGGCGCTTTTCACAGCCACGACCCCGCTCCTGAACCATCTGGGCACTTGTACAAAGATGCTTGTATTCACCAAAGGAGCTGCTACTTTGTCACGGATCCCACTCTGCATAAATTGTTCATTTGCCTCCAAGCTCCCCTTCTGAACCAGCTGAGCTGTTACTGAAGAATGGGATGCTTGGCCTTGGCAGGTGCTGCTTTCAGCCAGAGCAGCAGAGGCTGCGCCAGCTGAGCGGCTCAATGAGCAGCACGTTCAGAGCCGGCTGTGCCGGAGCCTCTCGCCCGGCCCACGGCGCCGCTGCAACTTTGCTCCTGCACCCAGGGAGCAGTTCTGTTCAGGTTCCAGCTTTCTGGCTTTTTTTCCTAAAGCCCCTCGCTGAGGCAGCACAGGAGCCCCTTGGCTGAGCTCATCCCCCTCGCTGCCTTCGGCTCGTCCTCGGAACAGGGAACGTCGTCAAAGCCAGACAGCTCCACACTCCACACTCCAAATACCTGACAAGGTTTCCACTGAGCATATCAAAGGCTGGCAGATGACTTTATAAAAGTACTCTCTGTTTCCCAGCTTTGATCGACAAGAATGTGCTTTTCATGAGTAATGTCTTTTTCTTTCCTTTTTAATAATTAATACAGTAAATCCTACAAATTCTCCCTATTTGGATTCTCTGTCACTTGCAGTTTTGAGTTAAAAAATTCAAAATGCAGCCTTCCAAATGCAAAGTGAGCTCTTTGCTGTGTGTGTTTTCCAGCAGGTTAAGTTTCACTAAGAGTGTTGCACAGGTTGCCCAGAGAAGCTGTGGCTGCCTCTGGGTCCCTGAAAGCGTCCAAGGCCAGGTTGGACAGGGCTTGAAGCAACCTGGGATAGTGGGAGGTGTCTCTGCCCACAGCAGGGGGTGGAACAAGATGAGCTTCAAGGTCCGTTCCAACTCAAACCATCCAAGGGTTCTGGGATTCTATGATTTCAATACAAAATGCCATGCATTATCTATTATCTACATCATCTATTTATTTATCATCCATCCTAGTTTATCACCCACAGCTAGCTGGAGCTTTGAGAGCAGATGCAGGTGTAGGGGAGGTATGGAGAACAACACCTGGCTGCTGCCCAGGTAAAGCTGGAGCAGAACCTGGGGATGTCAAGTGCCTGGCTCAGAGGGTCCAGCTGGAGACCTCTGTTCAGCCACAGTGGGAAAGGATGGCTGCTCATCTCTAAATTATGTTAATGTATGTAAGCAAGAACTACTTATTGTGCCCAAATGACCAAAGCCCAGCCCTCTGCTCTCCCTCGTTGCGGTGCAGCCTGCTGTGTTTGGACCCATCCAGTGTTTCCCTGGCTGTCAGCTCCGCTTTCCCTTTCCACAGGCACCTGCAGCTGGGACTGCACAAACCCTGGCTCTGCCCACCCAGGCTCTGACACAGCCCAGGGCCGGCCGAGATGTCACAGCGGGGCCCCTAATTCGAGTGGTAACAGAGCTGTTGGCATTCCCACCCCAGATCAGCTGGATTCATCCCTGGGCAGCTCTCCTGTGCGTGATTCACCACCTCCCATCCCACCTCTCAGCTCCCTGTGCACTGAGAATTGACAGCAACAAAGCCCAAATTCTCTGCTATCCCTTCATTACTTTTTAATGAAAAGGTGTGGAAAGGAAGAAAGAGGCTCACCTGGCTATTGCAACCAGCCACTCTGGAGCTGAGCCATCAGTTCCTGTTCAGAGAATGTGGGAGCCCTTTAGTGAGTGTTTGTGCATCTCCCACCCTCACCTGAGCACTGAGGGCCATGGGAAACATTTGGAGCAGCAGCAGAGCTGTCTCGTCCAGTGAAATGAGGTCAGTGAGTTGCAGTTGTCTGGGCTCAGACACAGCTCATCAGCAGAGGTGGGACAGCCCAGGAAAGGGACTTGCTGTGCCAGGGAGAACCCCACGAGTCTCATTTCCCCTGTGATTTCTCCCAGCTTGAGGGGAAGGAGGAAGTTGTGCTCCATAGGTATTTCTGTGTGTGCCTTTGGTCCCTTTATTGTTTCTGTATATCCCAGTATTATTTCTGGCAGCAACAGCTGATGGGAAGGGGCTGCTGTGGCAGAGGTGGCTTCATGTGCCACAAGGGATGATCATCTTCCACCACAGCCCTGGAGGGTTTGTCATGCCAAGCTGAAGAGAGAAGAAAGAGGCAAAGGTAAAGAAAGTAGGAGACAAGGAGAGAAAGACAAGAAAAGGGAGGAGAAGAGTGTGGTGAGGATGGAAATTGACTGTAAGAGGACCAGGAGTGAAAGAAGGGGCTGGAACAATGTCAGCAACCTCCCCACGTGTACCCACAGGGGAACAGGCTGGAGCATCCAGCTCCCCTACTCCCAGGCATGTGAAATTTTAACCATAATTTGCAATTATAACCAGAGGATAAAATTTCAGCTTATTAAGAAGAGGTGGGAACCTGCAGGGCGATGCACATTAATTACTGCTGACATCCAGGGACAGGCTCATTAGACAGAGGTCTCCTCCAGTTCCAGCACACAGCTCCTGGCTCGAGGCAGGTATTTCAGAGAGTAATTATAGAGCCTGTGCTGCTGGGCAGGTCAGAGGGGCTGGACACATCCACCTCATCCCTCCTCCTTTGGCTTCAGGGCTGAGAGAGGCTCTCGGGATGGGGCAGGGGCTGAGGAGAGCCCAGCAAGGAGCAGGGACACAGCTCAGGGCCTGGAGAGAAGGGGGGAATGGTTTCCCACTGCCAGAGGGCAGGGTTAGATGGGATATTGGGCTGGGTTATGGGATATTGGGAAGCAATCCTTCCCTGGGAGGGTGCTGGCAGGCCCTGGCACAGGTTGCCCCATGAGAAGCCCACAGAGAAGCTGTGGTTGTCCCATCCCTGGAAGTGTCCAAGGCCAGGCTGGACGGGGCTGGGAGCAGCCTGGGATAGTGGAAGGTGTTCCTGCCCATGGCAGGGGGTGGGACTGGAT